AGCATGGAAGGAGCCCGAAAAGCCTCCTTCAGGGCACGATCATTGAGCTGCTTTTAAAACCTGAGTAGGAGTTCCCTAGCTGAAGAGGGAGGAAAAGGCCTTCCAGCAGGAGGCGCAGCACAGGAGAGGCAGGACACGATACGCACCATCTGTGCCCCAATAACCATCAGCAGGTGCAGTGTGGAGAGGTGTGGGGTGGGCAGGAGGTGGACAAAGAAGATCCTTGGGTGCTGAGCTAAGGAAACCCAGCTTGATTCTGAGAGTGATAAAGATCCTCTGAGGACCCAGGCAGGGAGTGAGGGAGTGAGGGATCTCCTTTTAGAGAGATCCTAACAGTCTGAGACCAGCCTGGGCAATATAGTGAGACTCCATTTCTCCAAAATAATAAAATGAAATAATTAGCTTGGCACGCGCCTGTAGTCCCAGCTACTCGGGAGGTTGAGGCAAGAGGATTGCTTGAGCCTGGGCGGTCAAGGCTGCAGCAAGCTACGACTGCACCACTGTATTCCAGAGCGTGGACTCCATGGGTGACAGAGGGAGGCCCCATCTCTTAAACAGAGAGAGAGAGAGAGAGAGAGAGAGAGAGAGAGAGAGAGAGAGAGAGAGACAGAGGAGATCCCAGCAGCCATGAGAAGCTAGGCAGGCCACAGGAGCTAGCCTGCAGGGGTGGTGGCTGTAAGGAGTGGCTCCTGGAGAATTAGAGCCTCTCTGTCCCCGCTCCACCCCAAGCCTATGGACAAGTGTGCACAGCAGCGCCTGTACATGCTAACTGCTTGACACGCAGCATCTCCTTTAGCATTTACGGTCATTCTTGAACAGTTGAAGAACTGAAGCTTAGCGAGGTTAGGGAATCTGCTCAAGGCTCCAGCTACAAGCAGCAGATCCGGGGTTCTGACATGGGTGGTTTGACTCTAGGGCCGGAGCACTAACCACTGCTTTACCTGCTAATCTCCTAAGGGGAGGAGAGTGAGAATGACAAGGCAGAAATAGGCTCGAGAAACAGCAGAGGAGGGAACACTGGTGGGATCCGTAGGACTCAGGGGCCAACCTGATGTGGGAGAGGGAGTGGTGAAGCCAAGGGGTGGCCCAGGGTTCTGGCTGGGATGGAGTCTGATGGGTAGGATGGTGCTGGTGATGGCGACAAGGGAGGCACAGGATTTGTGGGAAGGAGACGTGTGCAATCATGACAGTGCTGTTGGAGGAGCCCATGGAGCGCCCGAGTGCAGCTGTCAGGAAGGTCACCGGACACTCGGGTCTGGAGCAGCACTGAGCACTGTGACAGAGGGAAGAGCTGGGGGGTGACTGAAGCTTCAGGTGTGGAGGTGGCCTCCAGAGAGAGTGTGCAGAACACAAGGACAATGGAGGCGGGGAGTTGGGGTGCTGGGAAAGGAAACTGTCAGGAAGGAGGGGCGTGAGAAGGCCAGGAGGCAGCGAAAGGGACCTGGGAGGCTCCTTCAGGCTTAACAGTGGGGTAGGGGCACCAGTGGGTAGGATGCTGGCAGGTGGCTCTGCCTGTCACCAGGAGTGGTGGCCTTCCCTCCTCTCGGCCCCATGGCTACAACAGCATTAGAGCCCTCGGCAGGTGGTTTAGAATCCACCTCTCCAGTACCCATGCTGTGGCCAGGGCTGGGCTTGTCAGCTCTGTCCCCCAACCCTGCAGCTGGCCTGGCCCATGGCAGGCAGCTGGAAACTGCTCGTAGAGAGGAGGAGGAGACCATGGGTGCAGCCTGGTCTGGCAGAAACCCTCAGTTATGCCAGCCCGCCCCTGCCCAAGGCCCTATGGCCCTCTGTTTTTTTTTTCCCCCCCTTTTCTTTTTCTTTTTTTGGAGACGAAGTCTCGCTCTGTCACCAGGCTGGAGTACATGACCTCAGCTCACTGCAATCTCTGCCTCCTGGTTTCAAGCAGTTCTCCTGCCTCAGCCTCCCAAATAGCTGGGAGAACAGGCACGAGCCACCATGCCCAGTTAAATTGTTTTGTATTTTTAGTAGAGAAGGGATTTCACCATGTTGGCCAGGATGGTCTCGATCTCTTAACCTCGTGATCCGCCTGCCTTGGCCTCCCAAAGTGCTGGGATTACAGGTGTGAGCCACGGCACCCAGCCAACCCTCTGTACACCTCTAGTGACTCCTGGCCTGCAACCAGCCACGGTCTTCAATAGCACCTGAGACCTGTCAAGGCACCATGATAGGGAAATAACAGTGTAAAAAATGGGGCATTAGTGAAAGCAAGTCCAGCTTCCCATCAACCAGTTTAAAGAATCAAGCGGCAAGCTTAGAGCTCCCCGCCATGTGTGAAGAGGAATAGAGATCAGGGGAACGAAAGAAGCCACAAAGTCTACAGGATCGCTGGCCTGGCACTCGCAGGCCACCTGCTGCCTTTTCGCCAACTGACAGTCAGGTTAACATGACCTGTGACCTTCAAACTAGCTATTCTGGCTTCTTGAAAAGAATTTATATTGAACCAAATTGCTTCTCATAGAGAAAGCAAAAGAATTAATAACCGTTTTTCTGAAAAGATTTTACTGCCACTTTTAGGAAGAAGCCTCCTTTGGAGCTTGAAGTGGGAATTGCGGGACGGTTCCTATTCTCACCAACAATAGCAGTGGTTTTCCTTAGCCGAAACCGGCTGGGATCCTGCCCCAAGCCTGTGGGAGAACAGTATTCTTTCCTGGGGGGCTGCCCTTCATGGTGCTGGACCCCTTCGAACTTGCCCTTCAAACTCTGCCCCTTAAAACTGCACTCCCAGCCAGCTGCTTGGCAGATTTCACCAAGGGTCACTGTAAGGCCTTTTAGGCTGACTGATGACGCCATGGACGCCATGGCAACCCGTGACCCCCACGTACACCTCTGGATGGCCTCCTGGAATTAGAAAAGCTGAAGTAACTGGAAGACCATGAAACAGGGAAGGGTGATCAACCCCTGTGGTGCCAAATTAACTTGAGACATTCTCTACTGTTCCTTATTCCTGCCTCAGCTGATAAGGCCATTGGACTTTGTAATCGACCCTGGTCAACCTTGTGACTCCAGACCCTAGAGCCCCTCCCAGCTTGCAAAAACCACCCTAAACTGTAACTTCTGTGACTTTCCGCTGCCTACCCCAAACCTAGACCACCAACTCCTATCCCACCGCCCTCCACGGACTCTTTGGACTCAGCCTGCCTGCACCCGGGTGAATCAAGAGCCATGTTGCTCACAGAAAGCCTGTTTGGGGGTCTCTTCATTCAGAGCATGTGTTTTAACAGTCACATTCAGTCAATTACCAATGAGATCTATGGGATGAGATTCGGAGCAAGAGCTGCAGCAGCCCCACATGGGGATGAGGAACAAGGGGGCTGGGAGGAGTGGAGGCTTCCACCTCAGGTCTGGATGTGACCTGGTTCTGAGGTCCCCATCTGGAAGGGACATGCCACTCTCTCCCTTCACCCTATGCCATGGGTCCCTGTAGCCATTGAGCACAGCAGGTTGGACAGCAAGAGCCTCAGGCAATTCAGCAGGTACACCCTGCTCTTCATAACATCGGAACTGTGTAGTCAGCGGGCTGCCGTCCATAGGTCACCAGCAGGCCTGGTGACTGGGTGTGAGAGGATCAGCTCCAATCTCTCCCCACACCCACCTGAACTTCTCCACAGGTGAGCAGCAGCATCTTAAATCCCAGGGGGCCCAGGCTGGGAGACCCATTACAGGAGCTGCAGGCTCTTTAGTTGCAGACAGGACACCAAGACCCGGAGCGCAGAAGCGACAGGCCAGGACATGCTGCCAAGGGACAGCTCACTACTGAATGGGTGTGGGGAGTGCTGGGTTTGTGCACGTGGGACCAGTGTTTTAGCTGTGAGTCGACACAAGAGTCTCTGATCCATCAGGAAACAAACACAGTGTTCGAATCAGCCATCTACCTAGGAAGTGTCTGTGCCCCTTCCACAGAGGCTCCTGTGCCATCCGTGGGAAGGTCGATGTGCTTCTGTGTGTCAATAGGAAAGCAGCCAGAATGATAAAGGCTTTCCAGACCTTGTCATATGAGGACAAGGTGAATATCTGGGGATGTTCGCCTAGAGAAGAAGAGGCTCAGAGAGGGAGAGACAGCCCAGCAGAGTGGTTCAAATACAGACTCCTAAGACGCCTGCTTGAGTCTAAACTCCGGGTCTGGCATTTGCTAGCTGTGTGACCTTGGGCAGGTTACTCAACTTCTCTGAACCTTCATTTCCTCATTTGAAAAACAGGGACGGCTGCGCATGGTGGTTCATGTCTGTAATCCCAGCACTTTGGGAAGCCAAGGTGGGTGGACTGCTTGAGCCCAGGAGTTCGAGACCAGTCTGGGCAACAGAGTGAGACTTCATCTCTATTAAAAATAACAAGAAAATTTAGCTGGGCATGGTTAGTAGTCCCAGCTACTCAGGAGGCTGAGGTGGGAGGATCATTGAGCCTGGGTGAACAAGGCTGCAGTGAGCCGTGATTGCACTATTGCACTCCAAACTAGATGACAGAGCAAGATCCTGTCCCCCCACCAAAAAAAAGGAAGGAAAAAGAAAATCAGCGATGATACCTGCATACCGCACAGTGCCGTCAAGATGAAACGGGCGAATATTTGTTACGGGTTGAGAACACAGCCTGGCACATAGTGAGTGTCACACGAGTGTCAAGTAATGATGGAAACATGGTAGAGACAATGAGAGCAAGTCAGGAAGGTGTGAAGAGCTAGCCGCGGGGAGAGGGACGGCAGCCGAGCCTGGAACACCAGACTGCGGAGGACTGATAGGAGAAACCGCCAGGATACAGAACGTATATCAGGGAAAGGAAGAACGTTCTCATCCTCAGAACTGTCTGATGGCCACCGGAGACAGTTGCCTGGGGCGGGGCAGTGAGTTCTCATTGCAGGAAGCGTTCCGGGAGAGGCTGGGGTCACCACACAGAACTGCCGTGGAAGGGACTTGGGCTTTGGAGGGGTGCCCAGTCCTGGTATGCGCAGGCCCTCTCCCCGCGTCCTTTGCCGTCAGAGGCCTTACCTTGACCGAATCGAGCTGTGCGGTACACCTCCTCCACCCCGCGGAAGCCCAGCATACGGCACACGACATCTCCGTCCTTCTTGTCCCAGCCATCATCACACACGGTGCCCCAGCGCCGGTCGTGGTACACCTCCACGCGGCCCTCATGAGGGCCTGAGCCGTTCACCAGGCGGATCAGCATCGGGGCCTCCACGGCACCTGTGGGAGCAGCCAACTGTCACTACCCGGCTCTGCACACACCAGGACCTGGCCCCAGGGGCCTTTTCTGACTCCTCCCTCCCCTGGGTAGGAGGAAGAGAGGGCTGGGGCCAGTTATACCAAGACTTCAGCCCCCAAATCACTCTGTGCCTCTCCTGCCCTTTGCCAGCCTTCTCTCCACCTTTAAAAACATAGGCTTTTTAACAGCACGGTGCTGGTACAAAAACAGACACAGAAATCAATGGAACAAAATAGAGACCCCAGAAATAAAGCCACACACCTACAGACATTTGATCTTCGACAAAGTCGAAAAAGTAAGCATCGGGGAAACAACTCCCTATTCAGTAAATGGTGCAGGGATAGTTGGCTAGTCATATGCAGAAGAATGAAACCGGACCCCTACCTTTCACCTTACACAAAATTATACAACTCAAGATGGATTAAAGATTAAAATTTAAGACCTCAAACTGTAAGAATCCCAGAAGAAACCCAGGGAAACATTATTCTGAACATTGGTCTTGGGAAAGAATTTATGACTAAGTCCTCAAAAGCAATTGCAACAAAAACCAAAATTGACAAGTAGACGAGAGAGACCTAATTAAACTGAAGAGCTTCTGTACGGGAAAAAAAATCAACAAAGGAAACAGACAACCTACATAACGGGAGAAAATATTAATATGTGCAAACTATGCATCCCACAAAGGTCTAGTATCCAGAACTCATAAGGAACTTAATTCAACAAGCAAAAAACAAATAACCCCATTGGATCTGAAAGTGGGCAAAAGAGGGGCCGGGTGTGGTGGCTTATGCTTGTAATCCCAGAACTTTGGGAGGCCAAGGTAGGAGGATCACTTGAGGCTAGGATTTCAACACCAGCCTGGGCAGCATGGGGAAACCCTGTCTCTGCAAAACAATAATAATAAGTCAGCCAGGCATAGTGGCCCATGTCTGCGGTCCTAGTTACTTGGGAGGCTGAGGTGGGAGGATTATTTAAGCCTGGGAGGTTAAGGCTGCAGTGAGCCATGGTTGAGCAACCACTGATCTTTCTACTATCTCCAAAGTTTTGCCTTTTCCAGAATGTCAAAGTTGGAATCATACAGTACGGAGCCTTTTCAGATTGGCGTCTTTCACTTAGTAATAAGTAAGTGAACCTTCGCATGTAAGGTTCCTTCATGCCTTTTCATGGCTTGATAGCTCTTTTCTTTTAGGACTGACTGATGCTCCGTTGTCTGTGTGCATCATAGTTTATTCATCCATTCACCTACTGAAAAACAACTGGGTTGCTTCAAAGTTTTTGCCTTGATGAATAGAGCTGCTGTAAATATCCACATGCAGGTTTTCACGTGGATGTCAATTTCGGCTCATTTGGGTAAACATCAAGGGGTGTGATTACTGGATTTCTCTCCACTGTTCAAGACCCAGTGACCAGCAGCCTCGCCTGCAAGAGGGGAGGGTGTAAGAGAAACAGGAAGCCAAGGATGGTCAAGGCCTTGTGGCAGGTAGCTTTGCTGTGTCCTGGGAAGTGTCTCAGCCCTGAATCAGTCATTCATGTTCATTTTCCCACTAAGCTGTGAGTGTGAAAGTGCTTTAAGCCAGAGAGAGCCGGTGGTGAATTCTGGTTCTGCCACTTACTATCTGCAACTGTGAGACACAGTGGTTCATCAAATCTGAGGTGTCACCTGTTGTAGCAGGCACCTCACTGTTTTATGTGCCACTAAGAAGAAAAAAACTCTGTCGGGTAGGTGGCACATTATGTCAAGTGCTGGATGCTTCCTGATGCCACAGATGTATAAATGTGTGTCACAGAATCAATGAAATGTGGCAATAGACGTGAAGAGCTCAGAATAGCACCTGGCACATAGTAGGCCCTTTTTGCCGGAATGACCTGAAGGTAGTCTCACAGTCTCTCTAAGAGCATTTCCCCAACTGCAGTCTGGGAACATCTGCATTGCGACTGTCATGCAAACACAATGCAACAAAGCGCAAAGGGTAACGTGGGTTTGCTCCCCTTCTCTCAGGGCTGAGCCCGTCATGTTGATCTCTAAACTCAATGCTTAGCACACAGCCTGGCTGCAGACTATGAAAGTAAATGTTTGCAGAATGGAGCAGAGAGTCATTCCTGAGCATTACAATGCACTGGTTCTCCAAGTGGAAATGTTGGGGACTCAAAGAACACCGGGGCAACTGAAAGAAGCCTTCAGAACATCGCGAAGCCAGGGTTTGGCTGGGGAGTCAGTCTCAGGGCGATACGCACGGTCAGTGCCAGAGCTGGGATCACGGCTTGGGTCTCCTGATGTGTCTTCCCACATCCTTTTCACCATCCTGTCCACCCCACTACTCTTGGGGACGATTTCCCCTGCTGGGACCTGAGTGTCCTCACTTGATAAGACACTGGAGTGGTCAGTGGGTCTTATCAAAATCATCAGGAACACCAGATTCTGGGGCCAGCCTAGATCTATTGAAACAGAATCTGGGTGGCAAGAGTGGGGGATCTGTATTTTTCCAAGTGTCCCAAATGATTCAGAGATAACCAGTCTGTGGACTGTGGACTGCCATTTGGATTAGATAATCCATCAGCAAGCTTCCTTCTAGCTCCAACCCTCAGTAATCTAAGGCCAGAGAAGAAACCAAAGTCATCTTTTTTTTAAAGCCAGAAACCACTGGGGTCATGTGGGGTGGGGGTGGACATTGTACTGGAACCCAGTGACAAGTGGGTGACACAATGCAGGAAAATCCCCACGTGAACCGCCATAGAAAATAGCAAACCTACTGAAGCCCTGCCACCAATAAACGTGGCACTCCTGGACATGTGCTTTGCCTTTTCCTTTTATTTGGCCAAGTAAAGGAGCTGGGCTGGAAGGAGCCTCCTGTTCATGACTCTGATGTGGCAAAGACCGTCACAGGTCCTGAAGGAGATGGCAGAATTGACATCTGTGCCCCAAGAGAAGGGAGAGAACTCAGAACCGGCCACGTGCCTGGGCCAAAAAAACCCCAGAAAATTCTGCAGAGGAACCACAGAAGCCACCAGGAAGCGACCCCCACCCCAGGAAGGATGCTGGAAGACCACAGTGAGAGCACCAGGCATGCCTCCTCTTGATACTGGAGTGTTTGCTGCAGGTCCTTCATCCCCGGCCGGGTGACCACTCTCCCCATGCAGACTGCAAACACAAACTCATGCAGGCTGTCCCCAAACAGTATGAAGCTGTGCAAGAGAACAGAGAGATCCCGGAGAAGAAAAACATGGTGAGGAGCTGGAATTCAGAGGCTGGGTCTGACACCAAGAAGCTCCCCAGGAGCGGTAAGGACAGGCTCATCTGCAGCCAGCAGCACCAAGGAGGACCCAGCTGCTGCGCAGGGGCTTGGCCCTGGGTTGGCTGAGGCCATGGGGCCCTGGTTTCTCACAGACCTGCCTCCCTTCTGGTTGCACCAGGAGGCCTACAACAGAAGCCACAGTGTGGGGTCAGCAAGAAGTGGCAGAAGGATGCTATGAGTCCCCAAGCAGGACAGGCAGAGGTCATGGAGTGGGGTCAAAACAACAGGAAGAGGCTGGGTGTGACTAGGCAATGGGGTGGATGGTCAGAGACTCTCTGACTTAGCTTCTCTGCTCTGGCCAACCTGAACCCACCTTGTGCACCCACTTCTTTAGCCAAGTAAGTGACTGAGAGTCTATTAGACAGCTGTGGATATGCTCATGAACAGAGTCCCTGCCCTCAGGGAGCTGACATTCTAGGCAGAGTCTAGCAATACAGCTAGTAAACAAAAACGGAACCATAACCATGGCCAAGTGGTGATAAGAGCATAGATGAGAACAGAAGCACAGGAAGGGAGTGGAGAGTGAGGCAGGCACCACCTTGGCTGAGTAGAGGAAGGAGGAAATGAGAGTGAAGCAGGCACCACCTTGGCTGAGTGGAGGAGGGAGGAAATGAGAGTGAGGGCAGGCACCATCTTGGATGAGCGGAGGAGGAAGGAAATGAGAGGGTGGGCACCATCTTGGATGAGGGGAGGAGGGGGAAATAAGAGGGCAGGCACCATCTTGGATGAGTGGAGGAGGAAGGAAATGAGAGAGCAGGTGCCATCTTGGATGAGGGGAGGAGGAAGGAAATGAGAGGGCAAGCGATATCTTGGATAAGGGGAGGAGGGAGGAAATGAGAGGGCAGGTGCCATCTTGGATGAGGGGAGGAGGAAGGAAATGAGATGGCAGGCACCATCTTGGATGAGTGGAGGAGGAAGGAAATGAGAGGGCAAGTGCCATCTTGGACAGGTGGACAAAGGAGGGAATGAGAGGGCAGGTACTATCTCAGAGAAGTGAACAAGGAAGAGGGTGGGGAGTGAGGAGAGAGAGGAGGTGCCAACTTGGATGGGTAGAGAAGGAAGGCCTTACGTGGAGACCTGAATGAGCTGAGGAAGGACGTGGACTCCCCCATCTCGGAAAACCCCTTTCTATACTCTGGCCTAAGCTTTCCTTGTCTTTTAGATCTCAGCTGAGATGCCTCTTCTTCCCTGGTCCCCACACCTGACAGGGCCCCTTCTAGGTACATGCTTATAGTTTTGTATCATAACTGCTGTTGCTATTTACTCTCAGGACACTGTGAGCCTTCTGAGGATCCCGTGACCTGGTACAGGGCCTGGTGCACTGAGATGCCCAGCCTGTGCATGAATGGAGGAACTCATTAATATGGTGGGCAGGTGCTCTCTGGAGGGCACAGCTTTCCAGCGTCCAGGGCTTTAGTGGCAGCCTGAATGGAGAATCCACCATCAGGGCATCCAAATCTCCAGCATCCTTTTGATTACAGCACAACCCTTTGAATCACACACTTGCTGCCTTCTCTTTGTGAGGTGTCTCTGGATTCTGGACCGGAGCTCAGGTTATTACAATGACTGTATATCTCAAATGGGAGAATGGGGACGTGGCTGTCAAATGATCATGGTGGGTGCATGAGGAAGTCTGGAAAATGTCATTTGGATGCTGAAATACTGAAGTTCCCAAGAGGTTTCAATGT